AAAGTATTGAATATCACAGTTTAACACCACTACAGTTGAAAGTATTGAATGTCACAGTTTAACACCACTACAGTTGAAAGTATTGAATGTCACAGTTTAACACCACTACAGTTGAAAGTATTGAATGTCACAGTTTAACACCACTACAGGTGAAAGTATTGAATGTCACAGTTTAACAACACTATAGGTGAAAGTATTGAATGTCACAGTTTAACACCACTACAGGTGAAAGTATTGAATGTCACAGTTTAACACCACTATAGGTGAAAGTATTGAAAGTCACAGTTTAACACCACTACAGTTGAAAGTATTGAATGTCACAGTTTAACAACACTACAGTTGAAAGTATTGAATGTTATAGTTTAACACCACCAAACTGAAAGGTTTGACTTGCACTGTTTAATGGCTGAAAATGTAGAAGTTGTATAAAGTTGTCATGTTTAAACTTGAACTACCTGTGTCAGTGGTTGACAGTATTTTCTTAAATAGTGCAAAGTTACAGGTTTTATAATAAAAGATGTTTAAAGTAATTACGTTAATGCATTCATATTTGTTATTATCTTATTACTTGTATTGTTAAACTGTGAAAATCTTTTTTCTCTAGAATGATAATGAAGTTACTGTGGCTAGTGATATGGATACTTCTGAGAACACAGAAACATCAAATGGACCACTGCTCCCAGTTGGTTGGCAGATGCATAGCTACTGCAAGCCTGCTGTGAAGCAGAATCCTTACACAAAAGATGAAAGTGATGAGAGTGACAGTGAAAGACATCTGTATTGTATCTGCCGGACAAAGGAAACTAATCGTTTCATGATGTAAGTTCTGTTTTTAGTGAGTAATAATGATTGTATTTCTAGGTTATGAACATCCAGTGGTTTAGTGTGTTCTGGAAATGAGCTATCTATTTGGGATATTCAGTTCAGTCTTTATAAAGTATTTGCCTTATGAGACATGATTTTAGTATATGTAGTGTCTGTCACTCTCTAGCTCCATGGTGTAAATATTACTATATGTCCTATTATACTCAATACACCTCTAAGTCTGTTTTCTCCATCCATTATGTTGTGAAACCATCCCAGTTATGACACTATTTATAGATCATCATGTCTTTGACATGCTGTGAAGGTAACTTCCATTTTTCATTCCGTTTCTTTCATGGTTCTGTGTTTTGTATGCCAGTTGTTTTATTAATATCAGTACAATTGGTTTGTACAAGAAATACTTTGTATTTTCCTGTTTTGTAAGCCAGTTGTATTATTAATATCAGTACAATTGGTTTGTACAAGAAATACTTTGTGTTTTTCCTGTTTTGTATGTCAGTTGTATTATTAATATCAGTACAATTGGTTTGTACAAGAAATACTTTGTGTTTTCCTGTTTTGTATGTCAGTTGTATTATTAATATCAGTACAATTGGTTTGTACAAGAAATACTTTGTGTTTTCATGTTTTGTATGTCAGTTGTATTATTAATATCAATACAATTGGTTTGTACAAGAAATACTTTGTGTTTTCCTGTTTTGTATGTCAGTTGTATTATTAATATCAGTACAATTGGTTTGTACAAGAAATACTTTGTGTTTCCCTGTTTTGTAAGCCAGTTGTTTTATTAATATCAGTACAAGTGGTTTGTATAAGAAATGCTTTGTTTCCCTGTTATGTTTGTCAGTTGTATTATTAATATTAGTACAATTGGTTTGTACAAGAAATGCTCTGTGTTTCCTTGTTTTGTAAACCAGTTGTAGTGTTAAACCTTTTCCTGTCAAGCTTTTTTCATATTTTTTCATTTCACCTTTTGATAGTCTATACTTATATATTTACAAAACAACAGTTCTTTCATGATCTGTTATATTGTTAACGACAGCAGAAGTCATGTGACGCTGGTAA